AGGGGGGAAAGACCCAATGATGAACCCCTCCCTCCCCCCCCCGCCCCCGGTCCGTGAATAAAAAATTGTCTTCCACGAAACCGGTTCCTGTTGCCAGAAAGGTTGGGGACCGTTGCTTCTTGTGGGTTCTACGGCGTTCTCTCTGCGACCCGCTCGTTCCGCTCGTTCCGCTCGTTCCGCTCCGCCGCCGCCACCGCCGGGAGAGACGCTTCGCGAACCCCAATTCGTCTTCGGCTAAAAGCCACGAGCGCAGTGCCCGACGGGGAAGCTCCGTGGCGCGTTTGAGGGGGAATGTCTGTGGGAGCATCGGCTCTCCTGTTGCGCTTTGGGTTTTAGTGTCCACGCCGCTTTGGAGGGGTCACCGCTTGCGCCAAACCGAGCCGCTGCCAGGGGGCAGAGGGCAGCGATGGGGGCGGGCGGGCGCGCGCACGGGCGGACGTCCACGCGCGTGCTTGCGGCAATCGGCGGGAGTGTGGGTCATCGGCGGAGGCGTCGCCGCTCGTCATTTTGCGGCGCGTGAACAGAGACAGCGATGGAGCCGCGTGGCCTTCGACGGGACCGTGGTTGCCCTTCGGTTGCAAGCGCGGTCGAAGGCTGGCGCGGCGCACGAGGGAGCCGTCACCCCCGCCCGCCCGCCCGCCCGCCCGCCCGCCCGCCCGCGTCTCTCCCCGGTGCCGGTGTTTACACAACTGCAGCTGGCACGCACGTGTGAAGGCTGAGCCGACCTTTAGGGGAAGGCCCCAGGACCGGTGCAATTGTTCGCCGCTGTTACCGGCCGTGAGCGGGAAGTGAACTCGGGCGAAGCGCGCTAACCGTGACACTACCGCATACACGCACACAAAAGAGCCCCCCGTGTAGCCTGGAACAGACTGTGGGTGCGAGTGCTGTTAGCGAGCACCTATAAAGGCCGGCACGGCACGCGATGAGGGGGTGGGTGGCAAGCACCACGCCCGACCGCCTTTGTCTCCCCAGTGACGATGTTTACACACCGCACCAGGTACTCATTTGAGGCGGAGTCGACGTAGGGGAGGCCCGGGACCGGTTCAGACAATCGTCACTGATGTTGGCCGTGAGCGGGAATCAAACCCGTGTCGCCGGGTTCGTAGCGCAGCGTAGCGCTAACACAACTACACTACCGCTCCTCACACACGCACGCTCCCTAGGAGTGTGTAAATCGTTAGTAGGGCGGGGCAGGGAGCCCCCTGGAAATGTCTCCGCATGGCCCCCCAAATAAGACAGCACCACCACTAATCAGTACTGTGCAAATGTGCTCGTACATTTGCACAGTACGATATACTATCCTCTGTCCCTCGGGATTGGGGGGGGGGGGAAAAGCAATTTTAGACATCCCATCAGCCGCGACATCCCGTCTGGGAGCGGCGTTTCGTCCAACGCAAGGCAAATAACTCTGCGGAGCGACGGTGAAGGGTCCGGTCGTCGTTCATCATTAGTGCGGTACACTGTGTACCGCACATTGCACTGTATCTGTTACGAGTGCTGTGCCCCGCTGTACAGTGCAGTGCTTTTGCCCTCGGTTGCCACGGGGACACACGGCGCGGACTTTTGCCAAAAGTGACAGAAAGCAGTGGCCGGTTTTTCCACGCCAGATAAGCATCGTCGCCTTGTTTTCAAGCGAGCGAAGTAAAAATACCCAGCCACCCCTCGAGTGATTTTAATTTATTTCGCCAACTTTTTTTTGTTGTTGCCCGTTTTAAAAGGCGGCGACGGGGTTTTGCCGCGCGCCTTCGAAGGTAAAAACCGAGCGAGCACGCGGGGATTCCTCCCCCGGCAGAGGGGGTCCGCGAAGTTCATTGGCGGAGCGTCGTAGCCGCGAGACCAGGGGATCCTGTCAAGGGGTTTGGGCGTTGACGAGGGAGGAGAGGGGGGGGGGAGGTGTTTTTAGCGGCCACCGGATTGTGACAGACCCCATCTCTGATGCGGCAGAGGACTCCAGAAAATATTACGACAAAGATCCTCCCCTCGCCCCCCCCCCCCCCCCCCCCCCCCCCCCCCCCCCCGTATAGCCTGAACGGACAAGTGCTGTTCAGCGAGCTGCACCTACGAAGGCCGAGCAGCACCTGCGAAGGCTGCCCTTGTCTCCAGACAACAACAACAACCGCCATTCGCCACTAAGTAGCGGTGACATCACCACGACGCTTGTGCCAGGCCATGTGCACCTTGAGGCCACGTGAAGTGTCGAACGCCCGCTGGCAGGAGGTCACGGGGCAGACCCAGCAGGTGCCATGGGTCGACTGACTGAGACGACTGACATAGACACACACACACAGACACACCACCAGATCAGTATCCTTGTCATCATGAACAAGCAGACAATACTCCGCACCTCCTTCCCATATCTGTACGGTGCCTCCCAAGTCACACATATAATACAAAGTCTATATTGTTTACACATCCCATCAGCAACATGGCCTTCCCTTCAACTGGGAGTGCATCATGTTCTGCAGTGTTGGTTCAACGCGACGAAAATTCTTGAGAGCGGTTTCGACATTCTTAATTCTTATTAGCGGACACGGGCTTGCTTGGAGCAATGCTTGTGAACTGCCAGATGTTGTGGAGGCATGGACCCCACCCCCTCTCTTCTTAGATGTGGGTTCTCAGTTTTTTTTTATCGGCAGCGTAAGTCCGCTAAGTCTTTTGTTTCCACAATACGTCCACACGGGACTGGAAGTCCTGCGGGGTAAAGGTCACCGCGTTGCACAATCTAGAGGGCATCTGCTCGATTCTATCTCTCGGTGCCACAGCGGTTGAAACAATGGGGGGGGGGGGGGCGAGTTTTGGACCTCATCAGCCCCCCCCCTCCCCCCCCGCGCAGAGGCCACGAGAGCCGAACAGACGACTTGGTGTGAGGGAGGTGACGGGAACGACTCGGTGTGGAGGAGGTGACGAGAGGTGAACGGACGACTCGGTGTGGGGGAGGTGACGGGAGCCAAGTGGACGACTCGGTGTGAGGGAGGTGACTGGAGCCAACTGGACGACTCGGTGTGAGGGAGGTGACTGGAGCTGAATGGACGACTCGGTGTGGGGGAGGTGACGGGAGCCAAGTGGACGACTCGGTGTGAGGGAGGTGACTGTAGCTGAACGGACGACTCGGTGTGGGGGAGGTGACTGGAGCTGAACGGACGACTCGGTGTGGGGGAGGTGACTGGAGCTGAACTGACGACTCGGTGTGGGGGAGGTGACTGGAGCTGAACGGACGACTCGGTGTGGGGGAGGTGACTGGAGCTGAACGGACGACTCGGTGTGAGGGAGCCGAACGGACGACTCGGTGTGAGGGAGGTGACGGGAGCCAAGTGGACGACTCGGTGTGAGGGAGGTGACGAGGCCATTTCCTCCCCCGACGCTTCCTTCCCATGCCTCTCCCCCCCCCCCGCTCGACACAAACGGCCCGCCCTTCCCTCCCCTTCCTTCCCCTCCGCTCCCGCTCGGTTTCCGCGAGGCTCCTGCGTCTGCTGGAGTCGGAGGATAGAACCCCCTCCCCCTCGCGATGTCGCCGGGAGGCTCGCCGGCCGCCCACGGGAGGCAAAGCGCCTCGCCGCCGCCGCCGCCGGCCAACTCTTGTTCCGAGCGTGCGCACGCTTCTCTCGGAGCAGAGACGTCGACCTCTCGCGCACCTACGCCCGCCCCCGTTGCCCCCGTGAATTGCATCGCTCACAATCGCCGGGGAACCACGGAACCGGAAAAGCAGCCAGCCAGGCGGTGAGGGCGCCCGCGGCAACCAACGGTTGCCCGAGATCTGCGGTCCCCCATGTCAGGACGCTTTGTCAATACCGCTTGACGAGTTGCTTACAGGCGTGGGAGGAAACCGGAGCATCTTGAGGGGGATGCATCTTGTACGGCAGTGCCAGCTCATGTTAGTCCGCGCTTTTGCTGCATCGCCTTCTATTGAGCCAGGGTACGGCTCTTGCTGGATGCCCACGGGAGGGGAGTGTCACGACATCTCCGCCAGTGATCTGCTGCCTCCGCAGCTCTGAATTAGAGAGGGGGACTCGCCGACTCACGAACGAGTTCGGTTCCAAAGGTTACCCCTCGTAAGTCGATTTGTTCGTAAATATACTCCTGTGAGTTCCAAACATGTTGTACGGCATGTACACTAAACACGGGGGGTGGCTTTAACCGTTGTATAATCTCATGCAGACGCCGCTGGTTCTTAACGTTCTGCAGAAGCAGATGCCGCTGGTTCTTCGCGTTCTGCAGTTGTACAGAGGTGTGCGTATTAACCGCACGATGCCACTCCTGCTACGACTCATTGCCGCCTGCTTCACAGTTCGACGTTATAGATCCGGTGGCGTCTTCCGCGAGAGGAGGCTATCGCGTGCCGGGCTCACGGCCAAAATTTTGGCAAAATTCAAAAGAATTGCACCGCAAATTACTCGCTTGGGATCGCACGTGGCAACAATCATCGCCGCCCCTACCCGCGCCCCCACCCCCTACCGGTAGACTTGTGCCTGCTTGCAAGGCCAGTTGCCGTGTGTCGCACAGGTACGGCCGCTACCGGGGGCTGCTGGGAGGGCGTTGTTGTGGTTGGTGTTGTTGTTGTGGTTGATGTTGTTGTGGTTAGTGTTGTTGTTGTGGTTGGTGTTGTTGTTGTTGTGGTTGATGATGTTGTTGTGGTTGATGTTGTTGTTGTGGTTGATCTTGTTGTTGTGGTTGATGTTGTTTTTGTTGATGTTGTTGTTGTGGTTGATGTTGTGGTTTGTGGTTGATGTTGTTTGTGGTTGATGTTGTTTGTGGTTGTTGTTGTGGTTGTTGTGGTTGGTGTTGTTGTGGTTGATGTTGTTGTGGTTGGTGTTGTTGTTGTTGTGGTTGATGTTGATGTTGTTTTGGTTGATGTTGTTGTTTGTGGTTGATGTTGTTGTGGTTGATGTTGTGGTTGATGATGTTGTTGTTGTGGTTGATGTTGTTGTTGATGTGGTTGTGGTTATGTTGTTGTTGTGGTTGATGTTGTTGTTGTTGTTGTGGTGGTGGTGGTTGTGGCGCAGGCTGGGGAGGTGACGGAGTGGGGAGAGGAGAGGGAAGAGGGAGCCATCTACACCGTCTGTCTCCGCCGGGTCCACATCACACAGGGCCTGAGCAAGGGGGCACGCTGGCTCGGGGTGAGGGGCCTGAGCAAGGGGACCATCACCGGGGACCATCACCGGGACCTTCACCGGGGATCATCACCGGGGACCATCACCGGGGACCATCACCGGGATCATCACCGGGGCCATCACCGGGGACCTTCACCGGGGACCTTCACCGGGGACCATCACCGGGGACCATCACCGGGGACCATCACTGGAGACTATCACCGGGGACCATTACTGGAGACTATCACCGGGGACCATCACCGGGGACCATCACCGGGGACCATCACCGGGGCATCACCGGGGACCATCACCGGGGACCATCACCGGGATCATCACCGGGGCCATCACCGGGGACCTTCACCGGGAATCATCACCGGGGATCATCACCGGGGACCATCACCGGGGACCTTCACCGGGGACCATCACCTGGGACCATCACCTGGGACCATCACCGGGGACCTTCACCGGGGACCATCACCGGGGATCATCACAAGGGGCCATCACCGGGGATCATTACTGGAGACTATCACCGGGGACCATCACCGGGACCATCACCGGGGACCATCACCGGGGACCATCACCGGGGACCATCACTGGAGACAAATCACCGGGGACCATTACTGGAGACTATCACCGGGGACCATCACCGGGGACCATCACCGGGGACCATCACCGGGGACCATCACTGGAGACTATCACCGGGGACCATCACCGGGATCATCACCGGGGCCATCACCGGGGACCTTCACCGGGAATCATCACCGGGGATCATCACCGGGAACCATCACCGGGGACCTTCACCGGGGACCATCACCGGGGACCTTCACCGGGGACCTTCACCGGGGACCATCACCGGGGACCATCACCGGGGACCTTCACCGGGGACCATCACCAGGGGCCATCACCGGGGATCATTACTGGAGACTATCACCATGGACCATTACTGGAGACTATCACCGGGGACCATCACCGGGGACCATCACCGGGGACCATCACCGGGGACCATCACCGGGATCATCACCGGGGCCATCACCGGGGACCTTCACCGGGAATCATCACCGGGGATCATCACCGGGGACCATCACCGGGGACCTTCACCGGGGACCTTCACCGGGGACCATCACCAGGGGCCATCACCGGGGATCATTACTGGAGACTATCACCGGGGACCATCACCGTGGACATGACACGCCATACCACACAGAACATCACGTGACATGGACAACATCACAGAGAACGAGTGTGTATCTGTGACTAGTGTCTATTTGTGTCCGCGCGTCCACGTGCATCCGATTGTCTGACCGTGCATCCGGTTGTCTGACCGTGCGTCCGGTTGTCTGACCGTGCGTCTGATAATCTGACCGTGCGTCTGGTTGCCTGACCGTGCGTCCGGTTGTCTGACCGTGCGTCCGGTTGTCTGACCGTGCGTCTGGTTGCCTGACCGTGCGTCCGGTTGTCTGACCGTGCGTCCGGCTGTCTGACCGTGCGTCCGATTGTCTGACCGTGCGTCCGATTGTCTGACCGTGCGCCCGGCTGCCTGACCGTGCGCCCGGCTGTCTGACTGTGCGTCCGGCTGTCTGACCGTGCGTCCGATTGCCTGACCGTGCGTCCGGCTGCCTGACCGTGCGTCCGGCTGCCTGACCGTGCGTCCGGCTGCCTAACCGTGCGTCCGGCTGTCTGACCGTGCGTCCGATGGCCCGCCCGCCCGCCCCAGGCGGTTGAGAGCGGCGAGGAGGGCGGCGGCTTCGTGGAGAGTCGCTCGGACACGCACCGAGCGCGCGTCCTGCGCGCCGCCACGCTCGAGCGCCTGGTGGAGCACCTGCTGGCGTCGCGGCGCCTGCACGACTCCTCCTTTGTCACCGTCTTCCTCGCCACCTTCCGCACCTTCGCCACGCCGCTCCGCGTCCTGCAGATGCTGCTCGACAGGTGCCCCCCCCCCCCCCCCCCCCCCCTTAGCCGCGGCTCGTCGCGGTTCGAACCCCGGGGGCCGCCCCGGTTATATTGCGAACGTGGCATACGACGGCGATGTCACCGTCTGTCGCTTTGCGGGAGGACGTGAGGTGACCTCCCCACCCCCGCCGCCGACATTCTCCCGAGAGCGTGATGCGCTCCCCGAAGAAGGAAGGGGCCGTGTGGCTATTGGGATGTGTTAAAGAATGTAGACTTTGTGTTGATTTTTTTTTTACTTGGGAGGTACAGGCGCATGGTATTGTCTGCTTGTTTATGACAAGCAACTTGTCTGGTGGTGTGTGTGTCTGTGTGTACACGTGTGTGTGTACACGTGTGTGTGTGTGTACACGTGTGTGTGTGTGTACACGTGTGTGTGTGTGTGTACACGTGAGTGTGTGTGTGTACACGTGAGTGTGTGTGTGTACATGTGTGTGTGTGTGTACACGTGTGTGTGTGGTTAGCGCGCTGCGCTATGAACCTGGCGACCCGGGTTCGATTCCCGCTCACGGCCAACACCAGTGACGATTATCTGAACCGGTCCCGGGCCTCCCCTAGGTCGACTCAGCCTCAAATGAGTACCTGGTGCAGTGTGTAAACATCGCCACTAGGGAGACAAAGGCGGTCGGGCGTGGTGCTGGCCACCCACCCCCTCGTGTACCGTTCCGGCCTTCATAGGTGCTCGCTAACAGCACTTGCCCCTACAGTCTGTTACAGGCTATATGGGGGATCTTTGTGTGTGTGTGTACACGTGTGTGTGTGTGTACACGTGTGTGTGTGTACACGTGTGTGTGTGTACACGTGTGTGTGTACACGTGTGTGTGTGTGTACACGTGTGTGTACACGTGTGTGTGTGTGTACACGTGTGTGTACACGTGTGTGTGTGTGTACACGTGTGTGTGTGTGTACACGTGTGTGTACACGTGTGTGTGTGTGTGTACACGTGTGTGTGTGTACACGTGTGTGTGTACACGTGTGTGTGTACACATGTGTGTGTACGTGTGTGTGTGTACACGTGTGTGTGTGTGTGTACACGTGTGTGTGTACACGTGTGTGTGTGTGTACACGTGTGTGTGTGTGTACACGTGTGTGTGTACACGTGTGTTTGTGTGTGTGTACGTGTGTGTATGTACATGTGTGTGGCGGTTAGCGCACTGTGCTACAAACTCGGCGACCCGGGTTCGATTCCCGCTCACGGCCAACACCAGTGACGGTTATCTGAACCGGTCCTGGGCCTCCCCTAGGTCGACTCAACCGCAAATGAGTACCTGGTGCGGTGTGTAAACATCGCCGCTCGGGAGACAAAGGCGGCCGGGCGTGGTGCTGGCCACCCACCCCCTTCATGTGCCGTGCCGGCCTTCATAGGTGCTCGATAACAGCAGTTGCCTCAACAGTCTGTTATAGGCTGCACGGGGGGATTCTTAGTCTTTGTATCTATGTTATTGCCTGAGAGACAAAGGCGGCCGGGCGTGGTGCTGGCCACCCACCCCCTCGTGTGCCGTGCCGGCCTTCATCGGTGCCCGCCCGCTGGCAGCTGGCATGCCGCGCTCGCCGATGGCCATCAACACGAGCAGCATCCTCGTGTCGATGGCGACGACCTCTCTGGACCTCAAACTGAAGCGGCCACACTTGACGACATGAATCCGCGCCGTTGTCGTGCCATCGCGCGGGCGGGGTACTCCAGGTGCCACGCGAATGTGCCCGCCCGCCCGCCCGCCCGCCTCTGTGCCGCGCAGGTTCGCCACCCTGCAGGGCCTCGTGAGCGCCGAGGAGCTGGAGCAGAGCCAGGCCCAGGTCGCGACCGAGGAGCTCAACGGGTAAGGGGGCGCACGTGTGGCTCGCCTCGCGGCACCCCTCGCGTGTGCGGCCCGAGCAGGCGCTCGCGGTGATGGCCACGAGTCGCCGCCGCCGCCGCCGCCGCAGCCGCAGCCACGGGGCTCGGAAGCGTCCGCTCGCAAAGGCAAAGATCTCCCCGCGTAGCCTTGAACAGACTGCGGGGGCAAGTGCTGTTGGCGAGCGGCACCTATGAAGGCCGGCGCGGCACACGAAGGGGTGGGTGGCCGGCACCACGCACGGCCGCCTTTGTCTTCCTTAGTGGCGATGTTTACTACACCACGTACCGGCTGCTCATTTTAGGCCGAGTCGCCCTACGGGAGGGCCAGGACCGGTTGAAATAATCGTCACCGGTGTTGGTGGCCGTGAGCGGGCCTCGAATTCGGGTCGCCGGGTTCGTAGCGCAGCGTAGCGCTGACCGCTACACCACCGCTCCCCACACACACAGATACACACACACACACACATATACCCGCACACACACATACCCGCACACATATACACACACACACATACCCACACACACACATATACACACACATATACACACACACATATACCCGCACACACACACACATACCCGCACACATACACATATACACACATATACACACACACATACCCACACACACACACATACCCACACACACACATATACACACATATACACACACACACATATACCCGCACACACACACACACACATATACCCGCACACACACACACACATATACCCGCACACACACACACACACACATACCCGCACACACACACGCACACATATACGGTACCGTCTAATCGAATCCAACTCTGAAAGTGAAACCGGAACTTGTTGGTGCGACTGACTGTTGTGGTTGTACTACGGGCCGGGGCACGGCCAGTTGTTTGCTCGCACGTGGCGACGCGCGCAAATGCACAAGCGGCTAACCGGGGGGCGGTTGTATGGGTGGGTGGGCGGCGTTTTTTGTGGGGGGGGGGGCGTCTGCCGCTTCGCAGGTGCCTCTGCTCCATCCTGGGGGCCTGGCTGGACGGCTACGGCGAGGACTTCCGCGAGCCGCCCGACTTTGAGAGCCTGCGGCTGCTGCTGTCACACGCGGCGCACTCGCTGCCCGGCTCGGACGTGGAGCGGCGCGCCCACGCGCTCCTCGCTCAGCTGCAGCAGCAGCCACAGCAGCCGCAGCAGCAGCAGCAACAGCAGCAGCAGCAGCAGCCGGGCACTGCGTGGAGTGAGGACCCCCCTCCCCACCTCTCCATCCCTCCCACTCCCCCACACCCCACACCCCGCTTCGCTGTCACAGTGACGACGTCGCCATCGTCGTCGTCGTCGTCGTCGTCGTCATCGTCGCGGCCATTTCTCTCCGTCGCCTCGGTTTTGCCCGAATCGTTTTTCGTCCCTTTCCGTTGCTTCCAGCCAGAGGGGTGCCGCGTTGGCGAGGAGACGGTAAATTGCCTCGCCAGGCGTCCAGGAGGGTCGTGGCTTCGGCCCAGACCCTGACGCCTGTGTATCTGGAGCGTGCGGTGTATATCTCCCCGTGGTCCCCCCCCCGCCACATTGAGAATCGACGTCGCGCGTTCCCAGCATTTGGCCGCTACGCATTTTCGCGTGACGACGGTGAGGCCTCCGTGACGGCGACGGGACCCGTTGTTGGCCTCCGTGACGGCGATGGGACCCGTTGTTGGCCTCCGTGACGGCGATGTGACCCGTTGTTGGCCTCCGTGACGGCGACGGGACCGTTGTTGGCCTCCGTGACGGCGATGTGACCCGTTGTTGGCCTCCGTGACGGCGATGGGAACGTTGTTGGCCTCCGTGACGGTGACGGGACCGTTGTTGGCCTCCGTGACGGTGACGCGACCCGTTGTTGGCCTCCGTGACGGCGATGTGACCCGTTGTTGGCCTCCGTGACGACGATGCGACCCGTTGTTGGCCTCCGTGACGGCGATGTGACCCGTTGTTGGCCTCCGTGACGGCGACGGGACCGTTGTTGGCCTCCGTGACGGCGATGTGACCCGTTGTTGGCCTCCGTGACGGCGACGGGACCGTTGTTGGCCTCCGTGACGGCGATGTGACCCGTTGTTGGCCTCCGTGACGGCGATGGGAACGTTGTTGGCCTCCGTGACGGTGACGGGACCGTTGTTGGCCTCCGTGACGGTGACGCGACCCGTTGTTGGCCTCCGTGACGGCGATGTGACCCGTTGTTGGCCTCCGTGACGGCGATGCGACCCGTTGTTGGCCTCCGTGACGGCGATGTGACCCGTTGTTGGCCTCCGTGACGGCGACGGGACCGTTGTTGGCCTCCGTGACGGCGATGTGACCCGTTGTTGGCCTCCGTGACGGCGATGGGAACGTTGTTGGCCTCCGTGACGATGACGGGACCGTTGTTGGCCTCCGTGACGGTGACGCGACCCGTTGTTGGCCTCCGTGACGGCGATGTGACCCGTTGTTGGCCTCCGTGACGGCGATGTGACCCGTTGTTGGCCTCCGTGACGGCGATGGGACCCGTTGTTGGCCTCCGTGACGGCGATGTGACCCGTTGTTGGCCTCCGTGACGGCGATGCGACCCGTTGTTGGCCTCCGTGACGGCGATGGGACCCGTTGTTGGCCTCCGTGACGGCGATGTGACCCGTTGTTGGCCTCCGTGACGGCGATGTGACCCGTTGATGGCCTCCGTGACGGCGATGTGACCCGTTGTTGGCCTCCGTGACGGCGATGTGACCCGTTGTTGGCCTCCGTGACGGCGATGTGACCCGTTGTTGGCCTCCGTGACGGCGATGTGACCCGTTGTTGGCCTCCGTGACGGCGATGTGACCCGTTGTTGTCCTCCGTGACGGCGATGTGACCCGTTGTTGGCCTCCGTGACGGCGATGTGACCCGTTGTTGGCCTCCGTGACGGCGATGGGACCCGTTGTTGACCTCCGTGACGGCGATGTGACCCGTTGTTGACCTCCGTGACGACGACGCGACTCGTGTTGGCCTCCGTGACGACGATGGGACCCGTTGTTGGCCTCCGTGACGGCGATGTGACCCGTTGTTGGCCTCCTTGACGGCGACGGGACCCGTTGATGGCCTCCGTGACGGCGATGTGACCCGTTGTTGGCCTCCGTGACGGTGACGGGACCCGTTGTTGGCCTCCGTGACGGCGATGTGACCCGTTGTTGGCCTCCGTGACGGCGATGGGACCCGTTGTTGGCCTCCGTGACGGTGACGGGACCCGTTGTTGGCCTCCTTGACGGTGACGGGACCCGTTGATGGCCTCCGTGACGGCGATGGGACCCGTTGTTGGCCTCCGTGACGGTGACGGGACCCGTTGTTGGCCTCCGTGACGGCGATGTGACCCGTTGTTGGCCTCCGTGACGGCGATGGGACCCGTTGTTGGCCTCCGTGACGGTGACGGGACCCGTTGTTGGCCTCCGTGACGGCGATGTGACCCGTTGTTGGCCTCCGTGACGGCGATGGGACCCGTTGATGGCCTCCGTGACGGCGATGGGACCCGTTGTTGGCCTCCGTGACGACGATGGGACCCGTTGATGGCCTCCGTGACGACGATGTGACCCGTTGTTGGCCTCCGTGACGGCGATGCGACCCGTTGTTGGCCTCCGTGACGGCGATGTGACCCGTTGTTGGCCTCCGTGACGGCGATGTGACCCGTTGATGGCCTCCGTGACGACGATGGGACCCGTTGATGGCCTCCGTGACGACGATGGGACCCGTTGTTGGCCTCCGTGACGGCGATGTGACCCGTTGTTGGCTTCCGTGACGGCGATGTGACCCGTTGTTGGCCTCCGTGACGACGATGTGACCCGTTGTTGGCCTCCGTGACGGCGATGCGACCCGTTGTTGGCCTCCGTGACGGCGATGTGACCCATGTTGGCCTCCGTGACGGCGATGTGACCCGTTGTTGGCCTCCTTGACGGCGATGGGACCCGTTGTTGGCCTCCGTGACGGCGATGGGACCCGTTGTTGGCCTCCGTGACGGCGATGCGACCCGTTGTTGGCCTCCGTGACGGCGATGTGACCCATGTTGGCCTCCGTGACGGCGATGTGACCCGTTGTTGGCCTCCGTGACGGCGACGGGACCCGTTGGTGGCCTCCTTGACGGTGACGGGACCCGTTGGTGGCCTCCGTGACGGCGATGGGACCCGTTGTTGGCCTCCGTGACGGTGACGGGACCCGTTGTTGGCCTCCGTGACGGCGATGTGACCCGTTGTTGGCCTCCGTGACGGCGATGGGACCCGTTGTTGGCCTCCGTGACGGTGACGGGACCCGTTGTTGGCCTCCGTGACGGCGATGTGACCCGTTGTTGGCCTCCGTGACGGCGATGTGACCCGTTGTTGGCCTCCGTGACGGCGATGTGACCCGTTGTTGGCCTCCGTGACGGCGATGTGACCCGTTGTTGGCCTCCGTGACGGCGATGTGACCCGTTGATGGCCTCCGTGACGGCGATGTGACCCGTTGATGGCCTCCTTGACGACGATGTGACCCGTTGTTGGCCTCCGTGACGGCGATGTGACCCGTTGTTGGCCTCCGTGACGGCGATGTGACCCGTTGTTGGCCTCCGTGACGGCGATGTGACCCGTTGATGGCCTCCGTGACAGCGATGTGACCCGTTGTTGGCCTCCGCAGGGAGCTCCGGAGCCGTGGGTCCGTGGCCCGCGGGGGAGACGCGCCCGGACTTCCTGTCGTTCCCCGCCGACTTGGTCGCGTTGCAGCTCACCTTCATGGACGCCGTGAGTCACGCCGGCCATGGCGGGGGTTGGTGGGGGTTGGTGGGGGGTGGTGGTGGTGGGTGGGGGTGGTGGGTGGGGGGGTTCGGGTAAGAGACAGAGCCCACTGAGGAAGAGGCAATGGGAGGCCTCATCAGGAAGGGGGCGGGCGGGGGCTAATCAGGAAAGAGTGGGGCCTAAATAGGAAGGGGCGGGGCCTAATCAGGAAGGGGGCGGGGGGCTAATCAGGAAGGGGCGGGGGGCTAATCAGGAAGGAGTGGGGCCTAAATAGGAAGGGGCGGGGCCTAATCAGGAAGGGGGCGGGGGGTTAATCAGGAAGTGGCATGGGGGGGGTAATCAGGAAGGGGTGTGTCTAAACAGCAATGGGTGGGGCCGAATCAGCAAGGGGCGGGGCCTAATCAGGAAGGGGTGGGGCCTAAGGAGTGTGGAGAGTGCCTGCAATGGAGGCTGAACTTCCCTGTTGAGTTAAGGTAACAGAAGCAAAGAATCAAACACGTACAGCAGCAGCAGCTGCAGAAGCAGCAGGCAGCAGCAGGTAGCAGCAGCAGGCAGCAGCAGGCAGCTGCAGCAGGCAGCAGCAGACAGCAGCAGCAGCAGGCAGCAGCAGCAGCAGCAGGCAGCAGCAGGCAGCAGCAGCAGCAGACAGCAGCAGCAGGCAGCAACAACAGCAGCAGCAGCAGGCAGAAGCAGCAGGCAGCAGACAGCAGCAGCAGCAGGTAGCAGCAGGCAGCAGCAGGCATCAGCAGCAGGCAGCGGCAGACAGCAGCAGCAGCAGGTAGCAGCAGCAGAAGCAGCAGCAGGCAGCAGCAGGCAGCAGCAGGCAGCAGCAGCAGCAGGCAGCAACAACAGCAGCAGCAGCCAGCAGCAGGCAGCAGGCAGCAGCAGCAGAAGCAGCAGCAGGCAGAAGCAGGCAGCCAGCAGCAGCAGACAGCAGCAGCAGCAGCAGGCAGCAACAACAGCAGCAGCAGCCAGCAGCAGGCAGCAGGCAGCAGCAGCAGGCAGCAGACAGCAGCAGCGGCAGCAGGCAGCAACAACAGCAGCAGCAGTCAGCAGCAGGCAGCAACAGCAGGCAGCAGCAGGCAGCAGCCGCAGGCCGACGGGCAAACGTTAGAAGTCCCTGGTGAGCTTGACCGTCGTGAGGAACCGTCGTCACTGCCGGCGTCTCCGCCGCCGCCGTCTCCCCAGGAGCTCTTCAAGCGCGTGGTGCCGCACGACTGCCTGGGCAGCGTCTGGTCACGCCGGGACCTCTGCGGCGGCGGCGGCGGCCGCTCGGGGTCAGTGAGAGCCACCGTGCGGCAGTTCAACGCCGTGGCGGGGTGCGTGGTGTCCACCGTGCTGGACGGCGCCCTCGCTCGACCCGCTCACAGGGCCAGGGTCATCCAGCGCTGGGTGACCGTCGCGCAGGTGAGCCAGCCCCCCCCCCCCCGTGAGCCCCCCCGCGGGCCCCCTGCGCCCCCCCCCGCGAGCCCCCCAGAGACCCGCGAGTTTGTTTCCCGCTCGCGGCCACCCAACACCCGCGACGATCGTCTGAACGGGTCCTGGGCCTCCCCCAGGTCGACTCGGCCTCCAACGAGTACCCCGGTGCGGTGTGTAGTAAACGTCGCCACTGGGGAGACAAAGGCGGCCGGGCGTGGTGCCGGCCACTCACCCCCTCCGTGCGCTCTCGCGACGGCGCTGGTCCCCGACAGTCCGTTAAGGCTGTACGAGAGGTCTTTGTCCCGTGGAAGAGTAGGCCAAAAATACCCTTTTGGATAGAGGGGGGGTCTCTTGAACGCGCGAGAGTAGAGGGGAGACCCTTCCACCAGCAGTGGCACGGGCAAAGAGATTGCAGGGCTGTGACGTTACGCTGTTTCACATGGCCTCCTAAGCAACCCAGGCACCTTGTTAAGATGTGACAACAACAATAACAACAACAATAATAATAATGATTTACTTCATTATCCAGGGGAGGAGCTGCACTGGGTCGTTTTCAGGAGGGTCAAGCTACTGCTGCTGATGCTTTGGGGCTTTTAATCTGTACGATGTTTTCAGGAAACCAGAGCACCTGGAGACCATTACCATATTAAACCATTAACCTACCCCCCTCTCTCCCCCTCCCTCTCCACTCCCCCCCCCCTCCCCTCGTGCAGGAATGCCGCCTGCTAAAGAACTTCTCGTCGCTGCGTGCGGTCGTCTCTGCGCTGCAGTCCAACCCCATCTACAGGCTCAAGCGCACCTGGGCTGTGGTGGCGAGGTGTGTGTTGTCGATGTGTGTGTGTGTGTCCGTGTGTGTGTGTGTGTGTGCGCGTGTGTGTCTGTGTGTGTGTGTCGGGGGTGTGTGTGTGTGCGTGTGCGTGTGTGTCCGTCTGTGTGTGTGCGTGTACGCCCGTATGTGTGTGTGCGTATGTGTCGGGGGTGTGTGTGTGTGCGTGTTTGTCCATGTGTGTGTGTCCGTGTGTGTGTGTGTGTGCGTGTGTGTCCGTGTGTGCGCCTGCCATTCTTCCACTCCGGTGGTGGGTGTACACCCAGGACCCCATTCCAACCTAAAGTGGCCTGGTCTCAGTTATCTGATGAAAGTTGCAAGCGAGAATTTCATCATCGCTTGCGGCTGGGATTGGCATCGTCCCCGACTCCTCCTGATGTCGAGGGTAAATGGACGAGGTTTATGACTGTGACTCATGGAGCTGCAATGGCTGCTTTGGGTACGCGGTGCAGACCTCCCCAGAGACCCTGGCTGACAGAGGAGGTGTTCAGGATGGTTGAGAAAAAGCGACAGGCCCACTGTCATCGGCTACAGAATCCCACGTCAGAGAATGAGGAGGCTTACCGCAGCCTTCGCTCGGAGGTTCGGAGAGCCGTGAGGCGCTGCAAGGATGGGTGGTGGTCGCGGGTTGCTGAGGAGATGGAGTCTGCCTCAGTGGCCCATGATCACAAATCTCTATTTAACTCCATCAAAAAGTAATCTGCAGCGCCACACCTATTACCATCATTAGGGGAAAAAATGGTGACCCAATCTCCGACCCCCAGGAACAGGTTTGCAGATTTGCTGAGCATTTCTGTGAGGTCCTGGGGGAGGGAAAATCCCTCAGCCAGGAAAACATTGTGGCACAAAGTGAGGATGACCCTGCTGAGGCTGCGGTGCCTCAAATATTGGAAGAAGTCACCCCCTGTGAGTGGCTGGCTGAGGTGCCATCTGTTGAGGAAGTACTGAAGGCGATCCGGAGTCTGAGACCAGGAAAGGCAGCGGGCAGAGATGATCTCCCAAGCGAAATGCTGAGGGAGGGCGGCGTTTGTGCACAGACTGCCCTATATGACATCATAACAACAGTCTGGACCACTGGACAGGTTCCGCAGGATTGGAAGGATGCCCTGGTGGTCCCCCTTTTTAAGAAGGGGGACCGCACAGACTGTAACAACTACAGGGGCATCTCACTCCTCAGTGTGCCGGGAAAGGTCCTGGCAAGGATTATTCAACATCGCCTTGCCAGGCACGCTGATGTGAGGCTTGCGGAGCCCCAATGCGGTTTCAGGAAAGGGCGGTCCTGCACAGATGCCGTATTTTCTGTCCGTTTGCTACAGCAGAGGTGTAAGGAATTCCAACAAGACCTACATCTCTGCTTTATTGACCTGGTGAAGGCCTATGATACCATCAGTAGGCCTGGGCTCTGGGTTGTTCTTCATGCTTTTGGAGTACCTGACCCTCTGCTCACGATCATTAAGGACCTTCATGATGGTGAGCGGGCCCGGGTAAAACTACGTGGCCGGGAGTCAGAGCCATTCCCAGTTAACCTTGGGGTGCGACAGGGATGTCCTCTGGCTCCCACATTATTTAACATCTATTTTGACCACGTAATTCGTGAAGCCTTCAATAGCTGTACCGGGGGAATCTCCATATGGTACAGATATAATGGGAGGCTGATCGACGCCCGGGTGCGGTCAAGGGATGGCTCCCTATTGCTCAACCACATTATGTATGCTGATGATTTGGTAATAGCTGCACATTCGGAGGAGGAGTTGGAGATGCTGCTGCTGAGAGTGGAGCGTGCCACTAAGAGGTGGGGCCTTACCATGAACCCCACCAAAACTAAGCACCTGCCTGGGTATTTTGTACCATCGGACACTCCACTCCCACAACTTCCAATCGGTGATGGGGCAGTTGTGGAGAGAGTGGAGAGTTTCCCATAGCTGGGCAGTGTGCTTATGACTGGCTCCAGTTTAACAGCAGAGGTCTCACTCCGAATCAGTCGAGCGGCATGTGTGTGTGTCGGGGTGTGTGCGTGCGTGTGCGTACGTGTGTGTCCATGTGTGTGCGTGTGCATGTTTGCATGTGTGTGTGTCGGGGTGTGTGCATGTCGGGGTGTGTGTGTGCGTGCGTGCGTGTCGGGGTGTGTGTGTGCGTGCGTGCGTGCGTGTCGGGGTGTGTGTGTGCGTGTCGGGGTGTGTGTGTGCGTGCGTGCGTGTCGGGGTGTGTGCGCGTGTGCGTCGGTGTGTGTGTGCGTGTGTGTGTGCGTCGGTGTGTGCGCGTGTGTGTGTGCGTGCATGCCATCAACAACCGTAGGGGATTGTAAGCGGTTGCCGTGCTGCGCTACGAACCCCCTGCTACCCGAGTTCGATTCCCGCCCGCGACCAATAGCAGTGCCGAATATCTGAACCAGTCCTCGGCCTCCGCTAGGTCGTCACAGATGTGCAGTCGGGGCACGGGGTCACATCGTTACATCGACAAACAATACAAAAACATGGTATTGCAAAGTTCAAGAAAGGTAAACACATACAAATGAAACTAAACCACATCCCCATTCTACCAAAGCCCACCGAGGTGTTGACTTATTGTCAACACCTCGGTGATGGCTCAACAATGCCGCTTATCGTTTGGATATTTTATAGCAGCAAAATAATCTAGATAGTCTCGAGACTCTGGGTTCCCGTAGACTCGCATTAATACCCACCAAATCGCAGAGACCCACAGACTCACATGGAGACCTGTAGACCTATATACAGTGAGGGAAAGAAGTATTTGATCCCCTGTTGATTTTGTACGTTTGCCCACTGACAAAGAAATGATCAGTCTATAATTTTAATGGTAGGTTTATTTGAACAGTGAGAGACAATAACCACAAGAAAATCCAGAAAAACGCATGTCAAAAATGTTACAAGTTGATTTGCATTTTAATGAGGGAAATAAGTATTTGACCCCCTCTCAATCAGAAAGATTTCTGGCTCCCAGGTGTCTTTTATACAGGTAATGAGCTGAGATTAGGAGTACACTCTTAAAGGGAGTGCTCCTAATCTCAGCTTGTTACCTGTATAAAAGACACCTGTCCACAGAAGCAATCAATCAATCAGATTCCAAACTCTCCACCATGGCCAAGACCAAAGAGCTCTCCAAGGATGTCAGGGACAAGATTGTAGACCTACACAAGGCTGGAATGGGCTACAAGACCATTGCCAAGCAGCTTGGTGAGAAGGTGACAACAGTTGGTGCGATTATTCGCAAATGGAAGAAACACAAAAGAACTGTCAATCTCCCTCGGCCTGGGGCTCCATGCAAGATCTCACCTCGTGGAGTTGCAGTGATCATGAGAACGGTGAGGAATCAGCCCAGAACTACACAGGAAGATCTTGTCAATGATCTCAAGGCAGCTGGGACCATAGTCACCAAGAAAACAATTGGTAACACACTACGCCGTGAAGGACTGAAATCCTGCAGTGCCCGCAAGGTCCCCCTGCTCAAGAAAGCACATATACATGCCCGTCTGAAGTTTGCCAATGAACATCTGAATGATTCAGAGGACAACTGGGTGAAAGTGTTTTGGCCAGATGAGACCAAAATGGAGCTCTTTGGCATCAACTCAACTCGCCGCGTTTGGAGGAGGAGGAATGCTGCCTATGACCCCAAGAACACCATCCCCACCGTCAAACATGGAGGTGGAAACATTATGCTTTGGGGGTGTTTTTCTGCTAAGGGGACAGGACAACTTCACCGCATCAAAGGGACGATGGACGGGGCCATGTACCGTCAAATCTTGGGTGAGAACCTCCTTCCCTCAGCCAGGGAATTGAAAATGGGTCGTGGATGGGTATTACAGCATGACAATGACCCAAAATGGCCAAAGCAACAAAGGAGTGGCTCAAGAAGAAGCACATTAAGGTCCTGGAGTGGCCTAGCGAGTCTCCAGACCTTAATCCCATAGAAAATCTGTGGAGGGAGCTGAAGGTTCGAGTTGCCAAACGTCAGCCTCGAAACCTTAATGACTTGGAGAAGATCTGCAAAGAGGAGTGGGACAAAATCCCTCCTGAGATGTGTGCAAACCTGGTGGCCAACTACAAGAAACGTCTGACCTCTGTGATTGCCAACAAGGGTTTTGCCACCAAGTACTAAGTCATGTTTTGCAGAGGGGTCAAATACTTATTTCCCTCATTAAAATGCAAATCAATTTATAACATTTTTGACATGCGTTTTTCTGGATTTTTTTAGTTGTTATTCTGTCTCTCACTGTTCAAATAAACCTAACATTAAAATTATAGACTGATCATTTCTTTGTCAGTGGGCAAACGTACAAAATCAGCAGGGGATCAAATACTTTTTTCCCTCACTGTAGAGACCCATGGGCTCACACAGATGCCCACATTTTCACACAGGCACCCACAGACACAGCCCCATAGGCTCCCGTAGACTCGCATCGATGCCCACCTAATCGCAGAGACCCATGGACCCACGTGGAGACCTGTAGGCCTGTACAGAGGCCCATGGGCCCCCCGTAGACTCGCATCGATGCCCCCCCGAATCGCCGAGACCCATAGACCCACGTGGAGACCTGTAGGCCTGTACAGAGGCCCATGGGCCCCCCGTAGACTCGCGTGGGAGGAGCACGAGGGGTTTTGCGAGGACGGGCGTGACGCCGCGGGGGTGGTGTGGGCCTTCCCGCCGGCGCAGGGACACGAGCGCGCTGTTTGAGGAGCTCTCCGACATCTTCTCGGGAGACAACAACCACCTGAACAGCCGCGAGTTGCTCCTCAAGGAGGCGAGCTCCAAGTTCGCGACGCTCGACAGCCACATCAAGGACAACCACAAGAAGGTGCAGAAGCGCCTGCAGATGCAGAAGGACACGGTGAGCGGGCGGGTGAGCGAGCGAGCGGGCGGGCGGGCGGGCGGGCGATGCCCTGCCGCAACTGGTGGCTCTTTCGCAGCGACGTTCTGTGTCGTCGTCCGTGAAGATGGCGGCCCTCGCCGTTGACGAGTGGCCACAGCCGGGCCTGCGGCTGGCAGTCGGTGCGGTGGGCTGGGTGACGAGCGGCCACAGCCGGGCCTGCGGGTGGCAGCCGGTGCGGTGGGCTGGCGCTCGCTGCAAACAGAAGCCTCCGAGCTCGGCGGTCCTGCGCATATATTTATATATTCATACGGCCACATTTTCGGCTGCAGATAGCTATTTTGAGCTGGTGGCCTGGACAAGGCAGTGCCTTGTACACCTTTGTGCCTTGTTTTGATCTGCGTGTGTGCCTGTGAGATGGTAACCACTTCGCCTGGTATGCAGGAGGCCGTGGGTTCGATCCTGACGCTGACGCCTGCTGTGTATTCGGAGTTTTCTCTCCTTTGTGGTCGCGTGGATTTTCCTCCGAGCCCCTCCGGTTTTTCCCTCCAACATTTAGAATCGGCATCGGCGCGCGGCGTTTTAGAGCTTTTGGCCGCTCTCAACTTCCACGTGATGGCGATGACGAATCGCTTCACTTGTGGTCAGGTCGCTTCCGAAAATGAGCTACACAGCCCGGCGAGCCTTCCCTGGTGGAAATAAAAACGTGTTCTAGTTTTGATAGTTTTCCGGCCGGCGCTGGTTCGTCCGTCGCGACGGGTTTTGCTCTCCCTGTTCACCCACCTGATATCGTGGGCAAGGATTCGTATCGAACTGCCCCCAGCACACGGCCACGGGGTTAACGCGAGGTCACGCTGAGGCCCATCTAAGCGACAGAACGGCGGCCAAAAGGACGTTCCCGGCAGGACGGCCAGCACAGACGGGGGACGGCCGGGTTTTTCGGGAGGGCCTTCATCCAGCAGCGGATAGGGTCACGGCCGTGCTGTCCTTGCGTGCAATGCCAGTGCGGTTGAGGAGCGGAGGTGCTGCCGCCGCCGCCGCCGCTGCTGGTGGTCACGACGGGAGGGCTTTCAGCAGAGGGAGTTTGTGCCGTGCCAATTTTCCCTCCTCCTCCTCCTCCTCCTCCTCCTCCTCCTCCTCCTCCTCCTCCTCCTCCTCCTCCTCCTCCTCCTCCTCCTCCTCCTCCTCCTCCTCCTCCTCCTCCTCCTCCTCCTCCTCCTCCTCCTCCTCCTCCTCCTCCTCCTCCTCCTCCTCCTCCTCCTCCTCCTCCTCCTCCTCCTCCTCCTCCTCCTCCTCCTCCTCCTCCTCCTCCTCCTCCTCCTCCTCCTCCTCCTCCTCCTCCTCCTCCTCCTCCTCCTCCTCCTCCTCCTCCTCCTCCTCCTCCTCCTCCTCCTCCTCCTCCTCCTCCTCCTCCTCCTCCTCCTCCTCCTCCTCCTCCTCCTCCTCCTCCTCCTCCTCCTCCTCCTCCTCCTCCTCCTCCTCCTCCTCCTCCTCCTCCTCCTCCTCCTCCTCCTCCTCCTCCTCCTCCTCCTCCTCCTCCTCCTCCTCCTCCTCCTCCTCCTCCTCCTCCTCCTCCTCCTCCTCCTCCTCCTCCTCCTCCTCCTCCTCCTCCTCCTCCTCCTCCTCCTCCTCCTCCTCCTCCTCCTCCTCCTCCTCCTCCTCCTCCTCCTCCTCCTCCTCCTCCTCCTCCTCCTCCTCCTCCTCCTCCTCCTCCTCCTCCTCCTCCTCCTCCTCCTCCTCCTCCTCCTCCTCCTCCTCCTCCTCCTCCTCCTCCTCCTCCTCCTCCTCCTCCTCCTCCTCCTCCTCCTCCTCCTCCTCCTCCTCCTCCTCCTCCTCCTCCTCCTCCTCCTCCTCCTCCTCCTCCTCCTCCTCCTCCTCCTCCTCCTCCTCCTCCTCCTCCTCCTCCTCCTCCTCCTCCTCCTCCTCCTCCTCCTCCTCCTCCTCCTCCTCCTCCTCCTCCTCCTCCTCCTCCTCCTCCTCCTCCTCCTCCTCCTCCTCCTCCTCCTCCTCCTCCTCCTCCTCCTCCTCCTCCTCCTCCTCCTCCTCCTCCTCCTCCTCCTCCTCCTCCTCCTCCTCCTCCTCCTCCTCCTCCTCCTCCTCCTCCTCCTCCTCCTCCTCCTCCTCCTCCTCCTCCTCCTCCTCCTCCTCCTCCTCCTCCTCCTCCTCCTCCTCCTCCTCCTCCTCCTCCTCCTCCTCCTCCTCCTCCTCCTCCTCCTCCTCCTCCTCCTCCTCCTCCTCCTCCTCCTCCTCCTCCTCCTCCTCCTCCTCCTCCTCCTCCTCCTCCTCCTCCTCCTCCTCCTCCTCCTCCTCCTCCTCCTCCTCCTCCTCCTCCTCCTCCTCCTCCTCCTCCTCCTCCTCCTCCTCCTCCTCCTCCTCCTCCTCCTCCTCCTCCTCCTCCTCCTCCTCCTCCTCCTCCTCCTCCTCCTCCTCCTCCTCCTCCTCCTCCTCCTCCTCCTCCTCCTCCTCCTCCTCCTCCTCCTCCTCCTCCTCCTCCTCCTCCTCCTCCTCCTCCTCCTCCTCCTCCTCCTCCTCCTCCTCCTCCTCCTCCTCCTCCTCCTCCTCCTCCTCCTCCTCCTCCTCCTCCTCCTCCTCCTCCTCCTCCTCCTCCTCCTCCTCCTCCTCCTCCTCCTCCTCCTCCTCTCCTCCTCCTCCTCCTCCTCCTCCTCCTCCTCCTCCTCCTCCTCCTCCTCCTCCTCCTCCTCCTCCTCCTCCTCCTCCTCCTCCTCCTCCTCCTCCTCCTCCTCCTCCTCCTCCTCCTCCTCCTCCTCCTCCTCCTCCTCCTCCTCCTCCTCCTCCTCCTCCTCCTCCTCCTCCTCCTCCTCCTCCTCCTCCTCCTCCTCCTCCTCCGCCTCCGCCTCCGCCTCCTCCTCCTCCTCCTCACGACCACAGCGGGTTTCACCGTGCGCTCCGTAGCTGTGGGTTGCATGGCCACAGTGGCACGCACATGAGATGCGTGCATCGGCCTGCTCATGGTCCAATGCCATTTCCACCGGTGGTGAGTGAATTAGTGAGTCAGTGGCTGGTTCCACCGGTGAGTGAGTGAGTGAATTAGTGAGTCAGTTGCTGGTTCCACTGGTGAGTGAGTGAGTGAATTAGTGAGTCAGTTGCTTGGTTCCACTGGTGAGTGAGTGAATTGGTGAGTCAGTTGCTGGTTCCACTGGTGAGTGAGTGAGTGAGTGAATTAGTGAGTCAGTTGCTAGTTCCACCAGTGGTGAGTGAGTGAATTAGTGAGTCAGTTGCTGGTTCCACTTGTGAGTGAGTGAGTGAATTAGTGAGTCAGTTGCTGGTTCCACTGGTGAGTGAGTGAGTGAGTGAATTAGTGAGTCAGTTGCTGGTTCCACTGGTGAGTGAGTGAGTGAATTAGTGAGTCAGTTGCTGGTTCCACCGGTGAGTGAGTGAGTGAATTAGTGAGTCAGTTGCTGGTTCCACCGGTGAGTGAGTGAGTGAATTAGTGAGTCAGTTGCTGGTTCCACTGGTGAGTGAGTGAGTGAATTAGTGAGTCAGTTGCTGGTTCCACCAGTGGTGAGTGAGTGAATTAGTGAGTCTGTTGCTGGTTCCACTGGTGAGTGAGTGAATTAGTGAGTCAGTTGCTGGTTCCACCAGTGGTGAGTGAGTGAATTAGTGAGTCAGTTGCTGGTTCCACCGGTGAGTGAGTGAGTGAATTAGTGAGTCATTTGCTGGTTCCACTGGTGAGTGAGTGAGTGAGTGAATTAGTGAGTCAGTTGCTGGTTCCACCAGTGGTGAGTGAGTGAATTAGTGAGTCAGTTGCTGGTTCCACCGGTGAGTGAGTGAGTGAGTGAATTAGTGAGTCAGTGGCTGGTTCCACCGGTGAGTGAGTGAGTGAATTAGTGAGTCATTTGCTGGTTCCACTGGTGAGTGAGTGAATTAGTGAGTCAGTTGCTGGTTCCACTGGTGAGTGAGTGAGTGAATTAGTGAGTCAGTTGCTGGTTCCACTGGTGAGTGAGTGAGTGAATTAGTGAGTCAGTTGCTGGTTCCACTGGTGAGTGAGTGAGTGAATTAGTGAGTCAGTTGCTAGTTCCACCAGTGGTGAGTGAGTGAATTAGTGAGTCAGTTGCTGGTTCCACTTGTGAGTGAATTAGTGAGTCAGTTGCTGGTTCCACCGGTGGCTTCGTGGAGGAGAAGAAATGTCAAATCCAGGCGGAGGTGCGGTGACGTTTTGGTGTCGAATGAGGAGGCGTTTATTCTGGGCTTCCGCGTTGTTCCACTCTGTGCTGAACGTTGTCGTTGTTGTTGTTGTCGTTGTTGTCGTGTGGCAGGGCGCTGTGCAGGGAACTGTCCCTTACCTGGGCACATTCCTCACCGACCTCACCATGCTGGACACCGCCCTGCCTGACCACGTGCAGGTGAGGGTCATGCACTCACCCACACACTCGCCCACACACTCGCCCACACACTCACCCACACACTCGCCCACACACTCACCCACACACTCACCCACACACTCGCCCACACACTCGCCCACACACTCGCCCACACACTCGCCCACACACTCGCCCACACACTCGCCCACACACTCGCCCACACACTCGCCCACACACTCGCCCACACACTCACCCACACACTCACCCACACACTCACCCACACACTCACTCACTCACCCACTCACCCACACACTCACTCACTCACTCACCCACACACTCACTCACACACTCACTCATTCACCCACACACTCACCCACACACTCACCCAGACACTCACCCACTCACTCACTCACCCACACTCACCCACTCACCCACACTCACCCACTCACCCACACACTCACTCACTCACCCAAACACTCACTCACTCACCTACACACTCACTCACTCACTCGCTCTCACTCACTCACTCACACACTCACCCACTCACTCACCCACACACTCACTCACTCACCCACACACTCACTCACTCACCCACACACTCACTCACCCACTCACTCACCCACACACTCACTCACTCACCCACACACTCACTCACACACTCATTCACCCACACACTCACCCACACACTCACTCACCCACTCACTCACCCACACACTCACTCACTCACCTACACACTCACTCACTCACCCACTCACTCACCCACACACTCACTCACCCACTCACTCACTCACCCACACACTCACCCAGACACTCACCCACTCACTCACTCACCCACACACTCACTCACTCACTCACCCACTGACCCACACACTCACTCACACACTCACTCACACACTCACTCATTCACCCACACACTCACTCACTCACTTGCTCGCTCTCACTCACTCACCCAAACACTCACTCACCCACTCACTCACCCACACACTCACTCACTCACCCACACACTCACTCGCTCTCACGCACTCACTCACACACTCACTCACTCACCCACACACTCACTCACTTGCTCGCTCTCACTCACTCACTCACCCACTCACTCACTCACCCACACACTCACTCACTCACCCACACACTCACTCACTCGCTCTCACTCACTCACTCACACACTCACTCACCCACACACTCACTCGCGCGCTCTCACTCACTCACTCACACACTCACTCACTCACCCACACACTCACTCACCCACTCACTCACCCACACACTCACCCACTCACTCACCCACCCACACACTCACTCACCCACACACTCACTCACTCACACACTCACTCACTCACACACTCACTCACCCACACACTCACTCACCCACACACTCACCCACACACTCACTCACTCACCCACACACTCACCCACACACTCACTCACCCACACACTCACTCACCCACACACTCACTCACCCACACACTCACTCACTCACTCACCCACACACTCACTCACCCACACACTCACTCACTCACCCACACACTCACTCACCCACTCACTCACTCACCCACTCACCCACTCACTCACCCACCCACACACTCACTCACCCACACACTCACTCACTCACACACTCACTCACTCACTCACACACTCACTCACTCACACACTCACTCACTCACACACTCACTCACCCACACACTCACTCACCCACACACTCACCCACACACTCACTCACTCACCCACACACTCACCCACACACTCACTCACCCACACACTCACTCACCCACACACTCACTCACCCACACACTCACTCACCCACACACTCACTCACTCACTCACCCACACACTCACTCACCCACACACTCACTCACTCACCCACACACTCACTCACCCACTCACTCACTCACCCACTCACTCACACACTCACCAACACACTCACTCACCCACACACTCACCCACCCACACACTCACTCACCCACACACTCACTCGCTCGCTCTGACTCACTCTCACTCAACCACCTACTCAATCACTCACACTCACTGTAGCCTTACAAGTGAACTGCAGGTTTCCGCCCACACATCAAGCCATGCCATGCCGAATGGAATCGGCCAAATCGGTGCCCTCCTGACCCCGAGTGAGTCTTGGGGACTCGTCGATATTTCTTGCTTTAATTCGTTTCATTTGTGTCCCGTGTCACAGGGAGGACTGATCAACTTTGAGAAGAGGAGACGGGTGAGTGCCCTTCGTGCACTCGGCACCAACCACCCATCACTCCCTCCACCCACCTATCCATCAATCAGTCAGTACATCCATCCTTTAGGCTGTCCATCAAGCCATACGTCTATCCAATGCTTAAAACCGTCCACCTTTCTGTCAAATCATCCACTTGTTGTTTCATCCGTCTGTCAATCCTTTTTCCGTTCAACTGTCCATCACTGCCCACCACCATCGTCATCATCGTCATCACCACCGCCATAATCACGCGCGTAAATGTAACATTTATATTTCTAGAAATGTAATATTTTAAATGTTGTATGTATATATTTGTGTAAATTGTTGTTATATTTACGGTAAAACCTTGGGATTGCGAGGATGATTCGTTCCGGAAACGTGTTTGTAATCCAAAGCACTCGTATATCAAAGCACTCGTACATGAGTTGTGATCACGTGAGTGCTCGGCAGTACAAAGCGTGTACACGTACTGCTCGTATTGCAAGACCTTGCTGGTACATGAGTTGTGATCACGTGACGCTCGGCAGTACAAAGCATACTACACGTACACTGCTCGTATTGCAAGACCCTCGCTCGTTTATCAAATTAATATTTATTTACAAATTTTGACTCGTCTTGCTAAACACTCGCAGACCAAGTTACTCGCAATCCAAGGTTTTACTCTGTATTTGCTTCCATTTTATATTTATATAAATGTTAATTTCATATTTCCGCGGTGGAACGAAAAAATCACCTTTTTTGTTATGGATGATATTGGTTGCGAAAGCCTCTCGTTCGCAACCACCACCACCACCGTCACCGTCACCACCTTGACCACCACCATCCAGTGATCCCGTCAGTCCATAATTCCTTCCCTTCATCCATCCAACCCCACCAGTCCCACGTGCCCCTCCTGCCCCTCCTGCCCCCCGCGAGACTCGACCGTGCGCGTCGCTCCGTCTCTCCCTCAGGAGTTCGAGGTGATGGCTCAGATCAAGCTGCTGCAGTTGGCGTGCAACAGCTACAGCCTTCGCCCCGACGATCGCTTCCTCGCCTGGTTCCACAGCCAGCCGAGCCTCTCCGAGGAGCGGAGGTACCCGACGGCACGAGCGGGCGGTTTGCGAGCTGCTCCGAGCGCGAGCGGCGGAGAGCAGTGGATTGGAGTGGCACAGCCGGGGCGGTGGTGACGACGCTGACGACGCTGACGACGACGATGGTGATGACCGTGGTGGTCACGACGATGGCGGTGGCGATGATGATGATGACGACGATGATGACGATGATGACGGCGATGACGGCGATGACGGCGATGACGATGATGACCGTGGTGGTCACGACGATGGCGGTGGCGATGATGATGATGATGATGACGGCGATGACGATGATGACGATGATGGCCGTGGTGGTCACGACGATGGCGGTGGCGATGATGATGATGATGACGGCGATGATGACGACGACGATGATGGCTGATGGTCACGACGATGGCGGTGGCAATGATGATGATCACAGCGATGACCATGATGATGATGATGATGACGATGATAACGGCGAAGACGATGATGATGATGACGACGATGATGATGATCGCGGCGATGATGATGATGACGATGATGATGATCACGATGATGATGATGACGACGGTGACGATGATGACGATGATGATGATGATAACGGCGATGATGATGATCACGGCGATGATGATGATGATCACGGCGATGATGATGATGACGACGATGATGATCACGGCGATGATGATCACGGCGATGATGATGATCACAGCGATGATGACGATGATGATGATCACGGCGATGATGATGATGACAATGATCACGGCGATGATGATGATGACGACGATGATGATGATGACAACGATGATGATGATGACGGCGATGATGATGATGATGACGACGATGATGATGACGGCGATGATGATCGCGGCGATGATGATGATGACGACGATGATGATCGCGATGATGATGATGACGGCGATGATGATGATCGCGGCGATGATGATGATGACGATGATGATGATCACGGCGATGATGATGATCACGGCGATGATGATGATGACGACGATGATGATGATGACGATGATGATGATGACGACGATGATGATGATCACGGCGACGATGATGATGATGATGACGATGATGATGATGATGATGACGATGATGATGATGATGACGACGATGATGATGACGACGACGACGACGACGACGATGACGACGATGATGACGACGATGATCACGGTGACGATGATGATGATGACGACGACGATGATGATGACGATGATGACGACGATGATGATGATGATGATGACGACGATGATGACGATGATCACGGTGACGATGATGACGACGACGATGATGATGATGATGACGACGATGCTGTTTCGTTCCAGCTACTTGTTGTCGCGCCAGCTGGAGCCGCCCGTGGAGAGCACGCTGTCCCCGTGCCCCCGCAAGAAAGTGATCCGTCACTTCAGCGGGTGAGACAGATGGGCCTCGCTGGCGCTCACCCGCTCGGTCGCTCACCCGCTCCCCCACTCACCTGCTCACCTGCTTATCCACTCACCTGCTCACCTGCTCACCTGCTCACCCGCTCACCCGCTCCCCCACTCACCTGCTCACCTGCTCACCTGCTCACCCGCTCACCCGCTCCCCCACTCACCTGCTCACCTGCTCACCTGCTCACCCGCTCACCTGCTCATCCACTCACCTGCTCACCCGCTCACCTGCTCATCCACTCACCTGCTCACCCGCTCCTCCACTCACCTGCTCACCTGCTCACCTGCTCCCCCACTCATCCACTCACCTGCTCACCTGCTCACCTGCTCCCCCACTCACCTGCTCACCTCCCCCACTCACCTGCTCACCTGCTCACCCGCTCATCCACTCACCTGCTCCCCCACTCACCTGCTCACCTGCTCCCCCACTCACCTACTCCCCCACTCACCTGCTCATCCACTCACCTGCTCACCTGCTCACCTGCTCCCCCACTCACCTGCTCATCCACTCACCTGCTCACCTGCTCACCCGCTCATCCACTCACCTGCTCCCCCACTCACCTGCTAACCTGCTCCCACACTCACCTGCTCACCTGCTCACCCGCTCCCCCACTCACCCGCTCCCCCACTCACCTGCTAACCTGCTCCTCCACTCACCCGCTTATCCACTCGCCGCTCGCCCGCTCGTGACGCCGTTTTACCGGCGAGGGGGTTGCACCCTGAACCTCGCCGGGCGCCGGGCGCCGGGCGCCGTGCCGATTGGCTCGGTGGTCGAACGGCGTCGGCGGTGGCGGCCAGGGGGAGAGGTCGGTCGTCGCTGACAGATTACTCGGTTGGGATCACGCAGGAGCAGGTAGCAGCATGCAGGCAGCAGCATGTAGGTAGCAGCATGTAGGTAGCAGCATGTAGGTAGCAGCATGTAGGTAGCAGCATGTAGGTAGCAGCATGTAGGTAGCAGCATGTAGGTAGCAGCATGTAGGTAGCAGCATGTAGGTAGCAGCAGCATGTAGGTAGCAGCAGTGTGCAGGTAGCAGCATGTATGTAGCAGCAGTTTGCAGGTAGCAGCATGTAGGTAGCAGCATGTAGGTAGCAGCATGTAGGTAGCAGCATGTAGGTAGCAGCAGCGTGCAGGTAGCAGCATGTAGGTAGCAGCAGCATGTAGGTAGCAGCATGTAGGTAGCAGCATGTAGGTAGCAGCAGCGTGCAGGCAGCAGCGTGCAGGTAGCAGCAGTGTGCAGGTAGCAGCATGTAGGTAGCAGCATGTAGATAGCAGCATGTAGGTAGCAGCATGTAGGTAGCAGCAGCGTGCAGGCAGCAGCGTGTAGGTAGCAGCAGCGTGTAGGTAGCAGCATGTAGGTAGCAGCATGTAGGTAGCAGCATGTAGGTAGCAGCATGTAGGTAGCAGCATGTAGGTAGCAGCATGTAGGTAGCAGCAGTGTGCAGGTAGCAGCATGTATGTAGCAGCAGTGTGCAGGTAGCAGCATGTAGGTAGCAGCATGTAGGTAGCAGCATGTAGGTAGCAGCATGTAGGTAGCAGCAGTGTGCAGGCAGCAGCATGTAGGCAGCAGCATGTAGGTAGCAGCATGTAGGTAGCAGCATGTAGGCAGCAGCAGCATGTAGGTAGCAGCATGTAGGTAGCAGCATGTAGGTAGCAGCAGTGTGCAGGCAGCAGCATGTAGGTAGCAGCATGTAGGCAGCAGCAGCATGTAGGTAGCAGCATGTAGGTAGCAGCATGTAGGTAGCAGCATGTAGGTAGCAGCATGTAGGTAGCAGCATGTAGGTAGCAGCAGCATGTAGGTAGCAGCATGTAGGTAGCAGCATGTAGGTAGCAGCATGTAGGTAGCAGCATGTAGGTAGCAGCATGTAGGTAGCAGCAGTGTGCAGGCAGCAGCATGTAGGTAGCAGCATGTAGGTAGCAGCAGCGTGCAGGTAGCAGCATGTAGGTAGTAGCATGTAGGTAGCAGCATGTAGGTAGCAGCATGTAGGTAGCAGCATGTAGGTAGCAGCGTGTAGGTAGCAGCATGTAGGTAGCAGCAGCGTGCAGGTAGCAGCAGCAGCGTACAGGCAGCAGCGTGACTTTACCGCAAGAACCAAGAATATGAATCCCTGCAGTCACGAAAGCTTTAAATCGAAAAAAAAGCCTGCTGTATATTTGAAGTTTGCGTGTCTCTCTCTCTCTCTTTCACTCATCATTATCACGGCGGCTAGGTGATGTTAACTACCTCGCCTGGTGTACAGGAGGTCGTGGGTTCGATCCCGACCCTGACGCCTGCTGTGTGTGTTTGGAGTTTGTCTCTCTCTCTCATCATCATCACGGTGGAGAGATGTTAACTCCCTCGCCCGGTATACAGGAGGTTTGATCCCGACCCTGACGCCTGCTGTGTGTGTTTGGAGTTTGTGTCTCTGTCTCTCTCATCATCATCATCACGGTGGAGAGATGTTAACTACCTCGCCTGGTATACAGGAGGTCGTGGGTTCGATCCCGACCCTGACGCCTGCTGTGTGTGTTTGGAGTTTGTGTCTCTCTCATCATCATCATCACGGTGGAGAGATGTTAACTCCCTCGCCCGGTATACAGGAGGTTCGATCCCGACCCTGACGCCTGCTGTGTGTGTTTGGAGTTTGTCTCTCTCTCTCTCCACGTGGCGGCGTGGATCTTTCTCCGGGTCCTCCGGTTCGCCCCTCACGCGTTTTAAGAATCGACGCTCAAGAGGAGTCGCCAGCTGCAATGAACTTCCACTCCCTTGGAGCGATGATTTGTGTGATGGCCAGGTCACTTCTAAATAAGTAATGTTTTTTTTTAAACT